AAAATATGATGATGAAGCTCGATATGAAAAAAGCATATGACCTGGTGGAATGGGACTTCCTTATTGAGAGCTTATGGGTTCAGTGAGACTTGGTGTGGATGGGTTAGGACCTGCATTACAACGGTGAAGTTCAAAATTCTCTTCAACGGGAACCCTACCGAGGAATTCATCCCATCTAGGGGTATCCGTCAAGGAGATCTTCTGTCCCCTCTTCTCTTCATCTTGATGTCTAACGCTCTATCGTTCCTGGTTGAAAAAGCTGTTCAAAGAGGAGATATGAGAGGTCTGAAGCTCAACAGATCATGCCCTATCATCACACACTGTCTTTTTTGCTGATGACACTGTCATTTTTGGAGAAGCTTCAGCTGGAGAAGCAGGGAGAATTCTGAACATTCTCAATAATTATGGGTCGATAACAGGACATGACGTCAACAAGGATAAATCTTCGATTTTTTACATCTACAATGTCCCTGAGGATGAAAAAGGAAGTATTATTCGCACGGTGGGATTCACAGAGACAAACTGTCACTCAAAATACCTCGGAGTCCCAACAGAGTGGGGAAGGTCAAAAAAAGAAACATTCCAATTCTTCATCCGAAGAATGGAAAGTAAAGGAGAGTCATGGAAAAGCCTTCTTCTTTCTCCAAGAGGTAAAGAAACCCTCCTAAAAGCAGTTTTTCAAGCGATACCGTCGTTCATTATGTGCCTTTTCCTCCTCCCTCGATCTACTACAAACAAGATGGACTCTATGATGAGGAATTTCTTCTGGGGAGGGAACATGACAAAAAAATCAATCCACTGGCGAGCTGGTCACGTCCTTTATGCTCCAAAAGAGGAAGGAGGTTTAGGCTCCAGACCCTTCCACATCTTCAACATGGCCCTGCTGGCAAAACAAGCCTAGAGAATCCTAACCAACCCTGAAGCCTTGTGGTTAGGTACTTAAAAGCATCTATTTCCCTAGAGTGGACTTCCTATCAGCAAAAAAGGGAAGCAAAGCTTCATGGATCTGGGCAAGTATCTGGGAAGCTAAATGTTGGATGCACCAGGGAGTGATCAGGGTCATTGGGAATGGGGTGACAAAAAAAATGTTCCCGGATCCTTGGCGGTTTGATCGATCAGGGCCCCTCCTCTCCAATGGATCATCAGACTCAACGCCAACTGCAGGTTTCATTGATGCCATCTCCAGAGCATGGAAGTTCGACCTGCTGGAGCAATTTCTTGATCCACAAGAAATCCTCCTTATAAGAGCCACACCAATTGGACCCACGAACATGAATGATTTCTGGGCATGGAGATTCTCGGAGCAAGGCGACTTCTCAGTTAAATCAGCCTTCCACTTGTTCCACAACCAAACTAGAGGCACCCAAGGAACAGTGAACCCTTTCCTTGACTCAGCCAAAGATAACTGGAAATGGCTGTGGAGCTTATCTATGCCACCAAAGCTAAAGTTCTTTGTCTGGAGATGTGCGAGGAATGCACTTGCATCGAAGGCGAACCTGTTTGCTAGAAAATGCTCTCCAACTGAGGCCTGTCCACTGTGCAATTGTTAGTCGGAATCGCTTCATCAGTGTCTCTTCATCTGCCCCCATGCAGCAGCAGGGTGGAATCGGGAATGGCCTGACCTTTCTACAACGCCACCACTAACGAACATTCTAGATTGGCTGGTCTCCCTACAATCAAGGTTTCCTACTGCAACCATTCAACATATGATTTTCTTAATGTGGCAGACCTGGAAGACTAGAAACGACCGAATTTTCTCAGGGACTCTCCCTTGGCCCCCAATCACCACTTTCAGAGCTCAGATTGCCCACCATCAATGGAACACTTGCCCTCGAAAGATTAGAGACATACCACACCAAACTCAGCACACTCCACCCCCTGACCAATCCTCTCCACCGCCGAGTATTCATGACTTTGAAATACACTGTGACGGTTCCTTTTTCAGCGAGTCACAGGAGGCGGCATATGGCGTCGTAGTTAAGAACAGCCATGGACAGGTTTGTAATGGGAGAGCTGAGCCCCTGCATTGTTTTTCCCCACTTGAAGCAGAAGCCATGGCCCTTTGGGAGGGAACACGAATGGCTGAAGAGTTGGCAGCTCCGTGCCTAATCAGAACTGACTGCCAGACCCTTATTCAGGCCCTTACAAACCCAATGGAGGTTTGGCCATGGCGTGTAGCAGGATGGATCAACAGGATCAAGAACTTTTCTGTGAACCACCCGACCAGCAGGTTCGAATTCATTAACAGAAAAAGAAACTGCAAGGCGAACTGGGTTGCGCGATCGTGTGCAAAAAAAGATCTACCGGTTGATTGGATTCAGGTTCTTGATGTAATTGCCCATCTATTGTAATCATTTGGCTTCTTCCACAAGGAATGGAAAATCTATGCCCTTTGTAAAAAAAAGTATAATAACCACACGTTGGACAAATTGTAAACATTTTTATCATAAAATCATCCAAGACGGCACCAAATAGTAGTGGTTTTAGTCTAAAATGGAAAGAGAGAAATATCACTTCTCAAGTTCGTCATCAGGTCTTCCATTAAGCCTTTTCTTAGCATAATGAATGAAGAAGTCTACAGGAACAATAATTTGATACATAAGTATTCAATAAAGGTTGTACGGGACAATTTTTTTTTAGGGTAAATACAATTTAATATCCAAGCCTTTCATTTTAAACAATATAATAGCCAAATCTTTTCGAAAACAATTTAATATCCAAATCGTCAACTTTCCGTCTGTTTGACCATTAGTTGACACTTCATCAAGTTCGAAGTACGACACTTCATCAATATCCATCGATATCTTCTCTGAAAAACCACCAACATATCGTGGTTCCAAACCCGGGAAGTCCATGACTCCACCATGATGGTATAGAATATCCAAATATTCAGTCATCTGCAATGCCAAAACAAGAAAACAAAGTTGTATTGTGACAATTTCCCCTAAACAACACTTTTTTGAAGTGTCAACTAACGGTCAAACGGACGGAAAGTGGACGATTTGGATATTAGATTGTTTTCGAAAAAGTTTGGCTATTGTATTGTTTAAGATGAAAGGTTTGGATATTAAATTGTATTTACCTTTCTTATGACCTATAAAGACTTTTGTGAATTGGTGTAGATTGGCCTAGAGTAAGGGGATGTCTTCCTAGATTTAGTTTAATCGTTTGGCTAATTATCATAGGTGTAGTAACCACTAGAAATAAGTTGGTTACATGGGGAATGATAATTGATGTAGTCTGTCAGTTTGATCTTGAAACTGGCCACCTTGTCACCTCCTCATAGGGTTGACACCCTGCCAACATGATCTTTATACTTAGTTTTTAGGAGATTTAGTAATTTGAAAGCCTGTCTTGTTGGCTTGATATCCAGACTTAGTCAAATTTCATATCTTGGTACCAAGCCTACCTTGCTGACTTGGTACCCCCTTGATACCCTCTTGGCTCAATACTTAACCAAATTTCATGTCTTAGTACCAAGTCTGCCTTGCTGGCTTGGTACCGGGTTGGCTTCATACTTAGTCAATTTTCATGTATAGGGATCAAGCTGCCATGCCCCCTGGTACCCTCTTGGCTCCATACCTAGCCAAATTTCATGTCTTTGTACCAAGTATGCCTTGCGGATTTGGTACCCTCTTGGCTCCATACTTAGCCAAATTGCATGTCTTGGTACCAATCCTATCTTTCCCAGCTTGGTACCATCTTGGCTCCATACTTAGCCACATTTCATGTTTCGGTACGAGGTCTACCTTGTCAGCTTGGTACCCCCTTGGCTTCATACATAGTCAAATTTCATGTCTTCTTACCAAGCTTGTCTTACCGGCTTGATACCCTCTTGCTTGGCCACCAAGTCTGCCTTGTTTCCAGACTTAGTTTATTTAGAGCCATATTTCATACCAGCTAACTTATTACAAGGGAAAGGCGACATCGGTTATGGAGTCCATAGGGGCCAGTCATCCACCTAGGCCAGGTAGAGGGATTTTGGCTACTTATGCCCAAAAACCCAATCGAATAAGCCCAGGTAGCTCATTTAATGATTAGTGTTGAGATGACCTTATCAATCCATTAAATCACTTGTAATTAATCAATGTAGTACAAGTTAATTTTTATGGATAAACAAATGCCCCACAACTTAGAGCATAAGTATTATGCTCTAAGTTGTTGACACCAATTATTCCATAAGAATTCATCATTGGCCCATCGCTCTCTTCACTTGCCCAAAATTGTCACTGATGGAGAAAACTATCAACTCAACCATAACAAGACATTGACGATGTCATGAGGGTCTCTTATAAACTCCCTTCAATGGTTGCCACCTACTTGCCCCCTCGTTGAGGTATTCATTTTAATGCCTTAGTTTTTTTTTTTTTATGAAGTGTGATACCAATCTACTTGGCTTCACTGACCCCACTATCAATATCATACTTCCGACTTAGGTTACCAGTTCGTGGAGCGAGAGCGGGAGCGTGAAAGTGTAGATTATTCAAAAACTCAATATTAAGAGCATGATGAGAGCATAATATTATATTATTTAAATTAATTAATTTAATGATTCATTATCTACATAACTCAAATAAAATGATAACTAATGAGCACTGAATGACAAGCATAATTATATTAATGAAAATGTCAATAAATATGTTAAATCCCATCGCCTAAAAAGTATATAGTATCTATCTATCTATATCGGCTAAATTACATATTTGGTCACTCAAATTACATAAATATTTCACGTTTGCCACACGAATTACTTTTCTTTCTTATTGACCACTAACTTTACGAATTGTTTCACCGTTGGTCACTGGCCGTCAGTCTCCGTTAACGCCGTCAGATTTTTGATGACGTGGCAAACAGAATTGCTGACTAATCTGTTAACTTAATGACACGTCAATTAAAAATAAAATAAAAAATAAAAAAAATTACACCTCATTCTCTTTCTCCTCCCTCTTCGCATGACTAGCAGTCCGACCAGAAGGACGACCGCCGCCCTCCTCCTCCGTTCAGGTCGCGGCCGCACCAGAGACCAGACCCGCCTCACTAGCTTCCAAATCCAAGTACTTCAACGACCTTGACTGCAACAAGCTATCAGGCGAAGGCATTTCGCCCTGGACTGAACTGAAACCCAAGTCCAATTTTTCCAAATTGGTAAGAAACTGCCAAGCCAAGATGGAATAGCAGCACCCAGATCCTGATGCCCACGCACTATAAGTTCCCTCATAAGACTATCAGGCAAAACACCATGGAATTTTTTGTGGCTCAGGTAAAGGGTTCTTGAGTTCTTCAACCAACCAAAGCAAGTTGGGACTTCACCTAAAAATATGTTCCTCCAACGAATCGGGACTCAAGATCGACAAACTTGCACATGCTGGGATGAATTCGACCTAAAAGATTCATGGCGTTGAAATCGATTGAGATAATTTGGCCTTGTGGTTGTGGCATCCAATCCCCGTTCAATTTGTGCAGTTGGAACCAAACAATGGAAAAATCAAAACAAAAGAACAGAGGGAGTCGAAACCTTCAACTGCCCTGACAGCTACTTGTCGACGAGTACGTCGCCGTTAGGTCTGTCTCCAGTGAAATCCCAGCACAGGTCTCCACCATCAAGTTCAAGAAGAGAAAATAAAATCAAAATTGAAACTCCTTATACTCAGAATCCAAAGAAAACCCTAAAAGTCGACAAGAATTGAAAAGGAACAGACCACTTACCGTTCTTTCTCTCGCCGACGAGGAAAGCAGAGCAGCGGCAGATTACGATCGAGGGAGGAGAGGAGAATGCGATTTGGATTCTTAGTCTGGGTTTGATAGAAGAGGGAGACAGAGAGTAGGTCGAGAAAAGAGGGAGAGATGAAGGAGAGATTCGGTTGATTTTTCTGTTCCTTATGTTGATCGCTCTTCAGAGGCAATCAGAGAAGATAAAAGGTGAGAAAGAAGAGGAATCGCACGAGAAGCAGAGAGGAGGAAGGAGGACGGCGGTGACTAGAAGGGAGGAATAGGGGAAGATTGACTAGCATTAATATTTCTTTTTTGCTTTATTTTTGTTTTTTAATAAAATATTGCATCTCAGCTTTTGTCAGTCCGGTCAGCAGTTCTGTTTGCCATGTCATAAAAAATTTAACGGCGTTAACGGAATCTGATGGAGACTAACGGTCGGTGACCAACACTGAAATGATTCGTAAAGTTAGTGGCCAATAAGAAAGAAAAGTAATTTGGGTGGCAAACATGAAAGATTTATATAATTTGAGTGACCAAACGTGTAATTTAACATATCTATATCTATCTATCTATCTATCTATCTATATCTATCTATATCTATATCTATATCTATCTATCTATCTATCTATCTATCTATCTATCCATCTATCTATACTATATATTATGGCAATTCAAAAAACAATTCTTGCCACATAAGCAATTGGAGGATCCACAATATGCCAAGTTGGACAACTTTTTTACAAACAAAAAATTAGTTATTATTGTATTTATGGAGCTACCTCTCTCTTCTTTAATATTTCCATTTCTTTTATTCAATTATTCTTTTTCATTTATCCATTTATTCTTTTTTGTCTTTAATAATAAGTTACATGTTGATAAACTTAACCAAACACACATAAATATTAATTTTTTTAAATAAACAAAATATAAATAAGAAAAAAGAGAGTGACATATATCACATTTATTTAAATAAAAAATATCTGATTAAACCTTATGAAATAAATTTTCTACTCATTTTTACTAAAATTCAATGATAAGTTACATTTTGATGAAAAAATAAACAAACATACACATAAACAATTATTTTTTAATCGATTAAACCAAAATATATATGAAAAGAGAGAAAATAAACATTTGTCATTCAATTACCTTTGAAAAATAAACTAAATTACTTTATATTTTGTTGCAATGAAACACTCTCTTATTCATACAATATATATCTATAAAATAAAACAGTATTATTTATCAAAATGTCAGAGTATAATCTTGATCGAGTAGTTACAGTTATTTATTTAAAAAGAATTCTTATTCATTCAGATCATGTTCTACCTTAAATTCTTCAAATGAAGAGGAATCGCATGTGCAATAATTTGATAATGTGACCTAAGTTCACATTAATAATATTTTCTCTATATCATGTTGATTGAGCAAGCTCTATTGAGGTTCTAAGTCGGATGCTAAGAAATTTTCTTTCAGACTTGGAGTTGTCTTCGACGATTATAAATCAAAATTTCAAAATGACTTAAGTATGATTGTTGACGAACTTTGACTTCATACCCTAGGATGAGACACAAGATTCATTGAAAAATAATAGATGTGAAGGTTAGAAAAATCTTTGTTCAGAATCTACGATAAACATCACGTTTCATCAACTACTAACATAGGCATTTACCAAATAAAGGTTGGCAATTTTTAGTAAGATCGTCAATTGGGATAAACATATTTATCCAGCAATCAAGTATCTTTATCCAATAATCTCAACTCTCAAAATTGGTTTTCAGTTCGTCTAGACTCGAGAAAAACGAATTAATATATGTTGTATAAGATAATAAGTTAATGCAAATAATCAAATGAAATACACTGATATTGTTCAAATGATAAGACATTTTAATTGCACTTAAAATATGTGTGTATTGGAGACACTCTTTATCAATTATTAATATATAAGCGATAAACCTTTGAAAATTACACATTCAACGACCATGTTAAGACCAAAAATCCTCGATAGTGTGTGTGCGCGCCTTAGATTGAGATTCTAAGTCGACATATAAACAATGACCACCGGTTGAGGTTTAGTATAAACTTCAAAAATTAACAATGGATACATATTATATAATATACTAAATTTAAGTGTCTGGATAAAAAAAAAACATCCAAAATGAAAATGAGTCGAGATTAGAGAATTTAGTCATCATGAGGGCTACAGTGTGTGTCAAGTTTCAATATGGATGAATAAATCCAATAATGAAGTATCTTTACTAAGAATTTCTCACTAAAAAGTTGTAATTTTTACAACATTGGTCGAGAGTTCGTCCAAACTCGAGGATCATGAATGTGTATTGGATTTCCAAAGGACCTAAAATCCCAATCCCTTTCGAGGGCTAAATACCTCCGATCACAACCATAGGTGCTAAAGTAGAATGAAAAAGAAGCCAAAAAAGCAAAAAAGAACATAACCTCTGATAAGATGAACATAATAAAACCATATCGAGCTATGATACCGCCATCCCTACCTTTTTATATATTATATATCGAACAATAGACAGCCCCAATGGTTCTCTGGCATTATGGGGGTAAAAGCGAGGTCTCTAGATAATTTTGAGTGTAATATACATACACACACATATATATATAGAATATCAAGGTATACTATACTTTTTATTTAACTCAAGATACGATAGAAGATAGGTATTGCGAAGTATGTGCATAAATTAGAGCTTACAAAATTAGGGACTAGAGTTCACCTATTAGAGGTTAGGGTATAGTATAATGCCCCAAAAAATCCGGTTAATTCGGGTCTAAATAGTAAAACTCAATGGTCGTATGGTAGTATGAACGCAAGAGTATAACGTACTCCTGGCGCACGCTAGCTTGAACTATATATATGTGTGTGTGGTTTAGGTTGGCGTACGCTAAATATTAGTGTTTTGGTTGACAAATTTTGACATAAGTTCTAAATGGGACGTGACAGCGGTATAATTTATGATTCGAAAACCGAAGTATCACAAGTGAGTATGCTAAATATTGGAAATTCCAATATAGACATACTACAAATTCTGTTACAAAATATTTAGAAGATCCAAAATGATTTAAACATATAATTATAAAATAAATCTCTCCGGCCAACGGGCCGGGTAAAAAGCTAGTAATGTATTAAATTCTTTCTTTTTCTATATAGATATCTACATCCATGCTGTAAGGAAAAACAACACATTTAATTTTATAATGTTAACAAAAAAGTTAAAGAAAATTAAAGGGTTAATTGCATGGTTGGTCACTGAGATTACAAAAAACATTCATATTTGGTCACTGGAAATATTTAAATCCAATATTAGTCACTCAAATTAGTTAAATGGTTCAAATTTGGTCACTCTCCGTCCAACTCTGTTAATTTTTGCTTACGTGGCAGTCAACTCTTACAGTTGACTGTTAAATGTGTGACATGGTAATTAAAAAATAACAAAATAAAAAAATTTAATTATTTTAAATTTCCAAGTCATTATTACACTATTAAAATAAAAAATCTTTTAGTTGTGGTCGCCATCACCGGCGCTGGACGTGCCTCAGCAGCGTGGGATCTGGGTTCGTTGCCACGGCGGCGGAATTGATCGCCGCGAAATGGCTCACTGATCTCAAATTCGTTCACCGGAGCAAGCAGGGAGGAATCAAACAGCGTCTCCGGCCAAGACCCTAGAGTTAATACTAACAATAGATTTACCTTAATGTCCTGGATCTCTGACGGTGAAATAGGTGTGTTGTCGGTGAGTGAACCGTTGAGTAGGTCGCTGCTGTGTGAGAGCCTGCCGGAAGTTCTCGGAGACACCTCTTGTTGGATATCGGAAAAACAATTTATCAAGAACAAAACAGAGCAATGGACATTAGTCAGAAGGATTGGTTTAATGGAAAAATTATTCAGGTACTCTGTTTCTCATTACCAGCTCAGTAAGGCCTCAAGAAACGGACAAATGCTTCACCTAATTACGGTCGATTATTAAAATGATAAAAAAACAAAACAAAAAAAAATCCCTTGATCCATTGAAATGAAAACGACAAGACTCGGGAAAACTAAGGATTCATCGAAGTTGACCTTCCCCGATTCACTATTCATTAATTTAATAAAGAAATGGCAACTGAAATGTGCGGGAGGTAGGTACTCTGTTTTTCTTCTTCTTATTCTTCTCCATTGGACGTTACAAAGGAGAGCATAAAGGGGAAAAGAAGCTCACCGAGTGGGACAAGATACGGTCCATGACCATCTGGGAGGTCTCGGAGGAAGCGAAGGAGGAAGCAAACAACGGCGGCGCTGCATCCTCTCGTTCACCAGAGCCTTCGCCGTCCCGTCGGCCTAGACACCGCCACTCTACTTCTATTTGCTATCACCGATAGCCTGTATATCAACTCAATCGATCTAATTTCTTGTTTCCTCCAAGTCAAAGAGATGAAAATGAGAGGTAACTTTTGGGGCGGACGAAATCCCTAAAGGGTTTGTGACAGAGAGATGCATGAATGAAGGAAGAATCTGTTGTGATGAAATCGACCACCACTGCAAAACAGGGGAACCACTACACAATATCTTCTTCCCCGAACGCCCGACATCCTCTCCCCTACCACTCTCGACCGATTCGGACTCACCGGTAGCTGCTACGCAAACATCGACCATCTTCACTCAACCTTCCTCGCCATCTGGTTTCGCCGCCGTTGAAAGCTTCAGAAATTAGGTTATGGGTTTGCTCAACAATAGACGGCGGAGGAGGCAAAGGGGCAAAGTTCCTGTTCATTCTCCCTTACCCAGTCCCCACCGGCGATTCTCCTGGAAGAAGAAAAGATGTGCTTCTTGGATGTTCAACTCCTCCCATCAATTCACAGAAACACAGATCCACCACTCTTCTTGTGCCGGTGACAATTAAAATAATTTATTTAACTTTTCTATTTTTTAATAGTTTTAATAATGAGGTGGAAAATTAAAAAAATTAAATTAAATGTATTTTATTATTTTTTAATTGCCATGTCACATATTTAACGGTCAACTGTAAGAGTTGACTGCCACATAAGCAAAAGTTAACGGAATTGGACAGAGAGTGACCAAACTTGAAATGTTTAACTAATTTGAGTGACCAAGATTGGATTTAAATATTTCTAGTGACCAATCATACAATTAACCCGAAAATTAAATGAAAAGTATATTTTATTATCTCATGCCCTTTTCTCCTTCCCTTCCCGTCTCCTCTGTTCTTTCTCTCTCACCTATCAAAATTAAAATCCGGCTTCATAGAAGAAAAGAGAGAAGTTGAGAATTGGAGATAGGTCAATTTGGGGATGGACGGAGAAGATTAGCGGTAGATATGGGGAATGTGACGCCAAAGAGCAGAGACGGCGGAGGTTGCGATGCGGGCCAAGATGAAGATGAAGGTGGTGGCAGCCAGTGGGGCAGAGCTTCTACTTCAGTTGCCAATGCTAGATCTGGAATGTTGCTGGTAGCCCGTGAACAGATTGATGGTAGTGGAAGGAGGGCTGAGGCAGGGTCTTCTAGAGGGAGGCGGATGGGCAATTGCTGCGGCGGCAAGAGAGCTACAGAGTATGGTTAAAGAAGGCCACACAAAGAAGAGAACTGAACAATTCTTGGCCAGGTCGCGCTCTTCCGCGCAAAAGTCGCGCTCTCAAGAAAAGAAATTCATGAATTTTAACATTTTCTGTCGGATCCGCGTTTCGACGCTCTAAAGCAGGAGCGTTGGGTACAAACCCACGTATTGGGTTACCTAACTTCCGACCCTATATACCATCTATGTCTAGCTAGCTATTCTAGCCATGCTTCATCAAGAAGGCATCCTGCCATGCCTTAGGGTGTGAGAGGCTTGGCAGGTAGGGGTGTACATGGATCGGGTGGTTCGGGTTTAATTATTTTAATCACCCGATTCATGTACTACGGTTTGGGAAATATCAAACCCAAACTCACCCAAAAAAATTTAAATCTTACGGTTTGTTTCTAATTGGGTTGGGTCGGGTTGGTGATATTTTTAAGTAAAAAACCCAACCCAACATAAAATATATAATTATTCTACATCATAAAAATATTTTATAACTAATTAAAATTTCAAACGAATGAACCAAGGTGAAAGGTATGAAAATTCACAAATGTTGTTTAAATTTTAATAAACTGTTGTTTAAATTCACAAATGTTGTTTTTTCACGATATTTGTTGAAATAGGCTAAAATTGTTATAAACAAACGCATCCATCATATGTTATTCTATTAAAATTGTACACAAGAAAAATGATTACGTGAATCATAACTATATTCAATTTATGTCTAAACTTTAAGCCGAAGAATGCATTAGATTAGGGAGACCATGAGAGAAAAACATGGCAAAGTAATTTAATTTTCTCATAAGTATATGACTATATACTACATAAATATTTTTTAGATTCGAACTCATACTAATAGTTGGAACACGGGTTGGTTCGGGTTCTACGGGTTGTGTAATCCAAAATTCAAACCCAACCCAAAAGAGGCGGGTTGTACAAAAGAAAACCCTCACCCAACCTAAAACCTTCGTTTTAGCGATAAATACGGGTGGGTTGGGTCGGGTTGGACGAGTGGGTCGGTTTGCGGGTGTGTTTGTTCACCCCTATTGGCAGGTTAGTCATCATGATGGTTTATTAACATTGACACACTTTCTAAATCTTTTAACAAGTAGACTCCATTAGGTTAGGTGGCTTGGACATTAAAGGGTCTACACCTGACATCCAATTGGCTGCCTATGCCATGTAAGTGACATGATGTACCAACCAATCAAAGAAGTCTAGGGAGTCCGTAGACCCAGCCACATCATGACTTGTTTCTTACTAGTCATGGCAAGGTCCTCCAATCACAAGTGTTACAACAGTGACTCAATTTGCAACATCAATTTTTTTGCCATGATTGGTATGTGATTTTCTTTTGTTTTTTTACTAGTATTTTTTAATCTACGTACTTACTTTATTATAGCAACTTTATTATAGCAAAGAGTGATAGACGTCACTGCTCTTCATACCCTTTGGCCACCACCAACGTGCCAAAAGGTATATACCCATTGCCAAGTTCATGAATCAAAACAGACTAGCCATCCATACACTACAGGTCTTCCCTCATCAAGGGGAGACAACTCCATTGATGTTAATTTTGAATTATCTAACATAACAATATATGGTTACTGATCAACCTGTTTTGTCTTTGTGGGCTTACTAGGGGTCTCATGCTTCTCTTTCCGAGCCACTTTATTAGACATGTTGGGATTTTGATATTGAATATGATGTGTTTTCTTCTTTTGAGCTGCACTAGAGATTTTCAACTCCTTCAACTCATTAAAGGGGACAAGAGTTGTCATCTACCTTAGTTTACCACAACTTGGCACATGTTTACTCTTCCCATATGGTTGGGAAGACGAGTGTTTGGACTTAAAGAGTTGATGACCACCATTGTGGCCAACTTGACCTTGTTCAACCCCTATGTCTTGCTTACTTCTACACTTAACATATAACAACCATTGGTCCATTGTAGGATCATGACTTGTTGGTCTGTGTCCAAATGCCTTATTCAAGTTCCCTTGTCCACTATTCATATTTGCTATGCCATGAGGGATGTTAGGCATATATATTCATCTTTGTCTATTTCTAAGCACACTCTCATACTTAGAAATTTTTTGGGTGACTTGAGTATGTTGCACACTCTTATACTTTCCCCCACTTGTTTTTTGGATACGTCTATCTGTCCACTGCTAGTGGTTGATAACATGTCTCTCACTTGTTTCTTTGCCATCGACGACATGCCCCCTACTCTACTACATGAGGTTGGGAACATGCCCCTTTTTTATACTTAACTACACTAGCATTCTTATTAGAAACACATGTGGCTTAGGTTTGTTGTGCCTTCTTGGACAAAACCGTAAATCCACTGCTTATGGTTGATGATATGCCCCATATATCATCCTTATTCAACAATTATGGTGCTTTGTTGGACACATCCTTTTGTTTCACCTTTCTTGACATCAAATTTCCCCCGAGCCTAACACTTCGCCTTTAGCTTGTCAGGTGGTAGGCTTCCATACCCTCCTTGCTGCTCCTATGGTGGTTTCCATCCACCATACCAATTGAGTAGGGGTGGCAATGAGGGCGAGCAAGTTTGTGGTGGTAGTTGATCAGGAATGACTGGATCTCCACTAGCCTTCCCATTGCGAGGTGTCATACATGATATAGGCACCAAGACATTATCTTGTGTAACTAATTGCACAAGAGATTTCTCCACATGGGTAGTGAACTTGTGAGTGAGATTCTCGCCATAACCACCGTGTTGAAGAGGTGGTTGACTTGTCACCGGAGGTGATGAGTTCTCTGACCGTGGCTGAATAGTCCGGCCACCATGGTCTAAAATACTCGTATCCCCCAGTAGAAATGCTTGATGGTGGATCTACACCATTTCCCCCCAAAACCTTTGATCTCAACAATGATTTTATCAGAAGTTGGCGAAACTCCTTAAAATTATTTTTATTTATATGGCAAATCTCATCTAGTTGATCCAAACATCGATTTAGGTGGATATGGAAACAATCAAGTTGAGATATAATTATTTTGTGTATCCCACGATAGCCTCCTCCATTAATTGTATTTCTACCACCAGTTATTGGTGGAGAGATAAGGTGGTGGCACCAACCCCCAAACATGGCGCCGATGATGGCTGGCCTCTTGCCATACCAATGTTTTCGAAGTCACTTTTGATAATTGGCCAAGATCATGCCTAGCCACTAACTCCTTTACGAACCCAAGTGAAAGAGCATTTTCTTGTTCTCTTAGTGGTGGAGCCATCAAATCAAACAAACAGTGTCCCACCAGGTGTGCCAATGTGTTTTTCGGCAATGAGACTCTTGTGTTGGATTTAAATCAATGCCCCTTTGACTTCTTGAACAACAATAATAACACGGTGCACACCTCTTAGAACAATATTCGAATGAGGGTGTTTGATGGTTTATGGGAACAAGCTACGTTACTATACTCTTATGGAGGTTCAGTGAGAGCTCTGGAAACTAAAAGTCGCAGATATGACTACATTGCAGAGAAATGATGAAGTTTGACATGTGGTGTCAAATGTTTGGTTGTGGAACCCTTTTCCAGTTTTCGTTTCTACTATTTAAGCCACCAGGTGTAACTGCTTTGATAACCGCTAGTTGGCCTGTTTCTCCAAACCGCCTTGGTGACCGGTTGGTAACTATCATTTGGGTGGTTTGGCATTGGGCTTGATTGGTGTTGAGTTGAGCTCCATGTTGCCTCCTACTCTTGACTAGACGGGGTTGGGGCCTCCTTACCTTGATAGCCCTGGTGACCTCATACTTAGTCTCCATATTGCTCCCATCTTGGTATCAACCTCCATCTTGTCACCTTTCCATAATCATGTCTTGATGGGATGAGAACTTAGCCCTCTTACCCACCAAGACTCCACACTTAGTCCCGGAGGACATGACATGGTATCATCTTGTCGGATTGTTACTTTATACTAAGCTACTTGTAAAGTATTCTCCTTTGGGGTTACATACTTAACCTTGTCATCTTGCTGCCTGACTTGATACCTAGCTCATGCGTGGCTACCAACCATGTCTCATCGGCTTGATATCCCCTGCTACCAAGCTAACTCTCCATACTTCAGTTTTTAGAATCACATCAAGTTGGTACATTGCAACCTACAGGCTTGGTACCCTGTTAGGGGGCCACCAAGTCCGTCTTGGGACTTAGTCTTCATATGGCCCCCTAAAGGGCTTTCACCAAGTCCTCATGAAATTGACACTCTCTTAGCTTGGCATTCGGGACAACCAGTCCCACCCCAAAGATTTCATGCTTAGTCTTGGGAATATAGGAATGGTCCATGGCTATTAGGTACCCAGTCGGGTGGCCAACTCAACTGGACACCATGCAACTTCCTCATCGGGTTGGCACCCTGCTAGTTTGATCACTATACTTAGTTTTTGGGAGATTTAGTAACTTGAAATCCTGTCTTATCGGCTTGATATCCAAACTCAGTCAAATTTTAGATCTTGGTACCAAGCGTGCCTTGTCGGCTTGGTACCACCTTGGTGTCTTGGTACCAAGAATACCTTGCTCGCTTAATACCCTCTTGGCTCCATACTTAGCCAAATTTCATGTCTTGGTACCAAGCCTGCCTTGCTGGCTTGGTACCTTGTTTGCTCCATACTTAGCCAATTTTCATGTCTAGGGACCAAGCCTGTCGTGTTGCCCTAGTACCCTCTTTGCTCCATACTTAGCCAAATTTCATGTTTTGGTACCAAGTATGCCTTGCCGGCATGGTACACTCTTGGCTCTATACTTAGCCAAATTGCATGTCTTAGTACCAAGCCTTTCTTGCCCGACTTGGTTTCCTCATGACTCCATACTTACCCACATTTCATGTTTCAGTATGAGGCCTACCTTGACGGCTTTGTACCCCTTTGGCTCCATACTTAGCAAAATTTCATGTCTTGGTACCAAGTCTCCCTTAACAACTTGGTACTAGGGGTGGGCAAACGGTTCGGTAAACCCAAACCGAAACCGAATTAAACCGAACCGAAACCAAAATAATGTTATTCGGTTCGGAATTCAGAAGGAAAATATGGATATTTCGGAAACCAGGGTTCTTTAAACCGAACCAAATTTCTGAATTTCCGACCGAAAAACCGAAATACCATAATTGCAACCTCCAAATGGTGGATTTTTATGTATGTAGTTGTTTTTATACTTAAATATTTGAAATATTTTATGACTTATGTGTTAAAATGTTTGATTTTATCATTGATGATGCATATAATTGCATATTTATTGTTTATATTAGGGGTGAAAAATAATTTAAAAGTGAGAAGATACAAGTAGCCTCATAAATTCGGGTTTTGGTTAAAAACCGAACCGAATTATAATTCGGTTCGAATTTGGTTTGATATTTGGGAGAATTCGGGGACCAA